TGAGCAGGAGTGGCGGTGACGTCAGAACGAAGCCGAGCTCTGATTGGCTTATATAGAAAGGATAGGGGGTAGACCTCAAGGCTAGATGCCTTGAGCCCCGTACACGCGCAATCAAGCTAGAACAATGGGGCGCCCTGATGGTCTCCATTAATATTTTCGAATCCATCCTGTAGTAGAAGATCCTTGAAGTGCTGGCTTAAATATTCTTGCATTGTTAATCACAATCAGGTCCTTTATATATATATATATATATGAACGACTGAGGCACCATGCTTGCAATTGTCTGTATATAAAAGACGATACCTGCTTCGCAACGGACAAGCTCCGAATGTCGAAATAAAAAGATCAGCTAAAAATCACATCGGGACGAAGTTGTCTACAGTAGCTGGAGCGAACCGTAAAATATGCGCAATAAAAAGTTAAAAAAAAAGGGGGGGGGGGGGTACTTATAAGAGAAGAAAACCTTTTTGTGCCTTCGCTTTTCGCAGCTTCGCCTCTTTTTTTTTTTTTTTTTGTTTAAACACATTTTTCCGGAATATTTAAACACAACGCGTACTTCCTTTTGTAGTCTCGGAATTGTACAGAGCAAGAAATGATCTCCGTAATATTGGCGCAGGTCGAGCTACATTCACTCGCGCGAATTACATTCGTGCTTCACTTTTTTTTTATTTTTGTAAGTGCAAAAATCTAGTTTAGTCTTATTTTGTCTCAGCCTTCGGTGGTGCTGCAAAATAGAAAGGATGAAAATCTGATTATGGGTATATTTAATTTACTGCAATAAATCCTATCCTGAACGGTCAAAACTGCCGACGTCACGCGTTACGAAAGAAGACAACGTGACGCTTATATTTTGGGGCATACATTGTTAATAATAAAAAAAAAAAAAAATTAAAAAAACGCCTTATATAACCAGAGGGCCTAGCTAAACAGCATCACAGCTCGAACAAAATCCGCAGAAATTAATTTTTAGATTTTTTCAACGAGTGCGCGGAAGTACTTATTACAAAAATTTCAGCAAAATACCAAAATGGGGAAACCCGTCTTCGTTCCACCTTTTCATGTTTTGCTCCCGCTTTCATAATAGTTTTTTTGTTTGTTTTTATGATGTCGTCGCATTCAAATATCACGCGTAAGTTTTTAACGGAAATTCGGCCCTTTCGCTCGGGGGCCGATCCTGAGAAGAGGTGAAATACGTCACGCTTGGCCTCTCACCACGTGACCTCACGGCGTCGCGTGGCTCCGACCGCACGCTCGCTCGTTTAGGGTCACTGCCCAAACTCGAACCGCGAAACCAATCTCTCCTCGCACTCTCGCACTCTCTCTTTTCCTCCCACATTCTTCCGTTCGCTTCCATCTTTCACTTTCCAACGAGGACGAAGCGGACTTCTCCCGTTCGCTTTGCACCGTTCTTAGCCTCCTCCTTTATCGCTCGCACTCTCCAGTCACACCCTTCTCCTTTTACACCCTCTCCCTTCCTCCGCGGAAATGAAAGATGGAGGCGAGGAACAGAGAACAGCTGCACCGACGCTCCTCTACGAAAGAGACTCCGACATGAACCCCCTCATCTCCAGCCAAAGCAGTTCCTCGTACACATCCTCCGAGAGTCCGAACCCTGTTGCCCAAAAAAGACCCAGACCCCACTTTTGCCAACCCCCCCCCCCCCCTCTCCTCATAATCCTCTCCCACCAAAACCCCTGTCTGGTTCCACCAAGCATCTCCGTTTTCCTGTATTTCCGCGGTCCATTCTCTCTTTTATTCTTTCTCTCTCACCAGACACCTCGTGCCTTCGTCGTGCTTCCCTCCTTTCCACTTCTTTCCTACCCTCTCCGAGTCCTTCCGTCTCTCGTCCTCTCCACCCCTGAGCTGACAGTACGGTGGAAGCTACGCGCTTGCCGGACCAATCAAAGCGGCTCTCTCTCTCTCTCGTCACGTGACCCCCCGCGCGCTGGGTACGGAGGCCGTAGCGAGAATCACGTGGCTGGATATAAAAAGTACGCAACAAGTCGCCGCTTAAAAAACGAGCCCGCGTCGGCCCCCGCAAGGTGCGTGCACCACCTGTGCGCACAAAGCAGACCCGAGTACGGTGAACCGTCTGCGCATGCGCGGTGCCGACAGCAGCGCCACCCCAGGGGCGTGACGTCGGAGAGTTGGGTTGGTGCGTAAACATGATGTCATCGGATCATGCTGGTGGTCATTCCTACTCGCTTTGGTACGAGAAAAACAGGTTTTGACAATGCGAAACGTACGCTTTAGGAGGAGTCATGTCTCGTTCATAGGAATCTTGTTCTTTACCTTATGTATCCCTCGCTATATAGAAAACATTTTCGAGGACTAACTGAGCAAATACGCGCATTTTTTCATTTGTCATTACTGTGCACTATTTTGATTATAGACGCTTTCTTAGCAGCAGAGTGGTACGTAACGCGTTTCTTGTATCTAATTACTTTTGAAACGAAGTAGCGAGTTAGTATAGTAACGTATTTCTGTTATTTCCTGAGCTCTTAACCGGTTACGGAATAGAGTTACTTTCGTAAAAGAACGTGTTCAACAAAAGTGTTCCCATTCTAGCTCTCACTCACCCCGGTCCTGTAATTTTCGAGACGGGAAAAAAACTCAAAATAAATAATAAAAAAGATGCGCACGAGGTACGTCATGAACTATAGCCAAAGTTATCCCGAAATGAATGCCTTCAACAGCGAGGTTATATATTGAGAGGCGGCTACCGCTTCAGAAAAACGACACGTTCAAAGTAATGAGAAAGTAACGCGTCATACTTCTACTTATAGTTACTTTTTTTAAAGCGAGCAACGAGTAATAATTTGTTAATTTATTTCAGTAAAGTGCACTACGTGTCCGCTTAGCAGGGAAGCTACCACACCACGATGGCCGCGGAAGTGACGTCAGTGCAAGCCGCGTGATCTGATTGGTCCACAGGAGCACGTGGCTTCCAGCGCACTGTCAGCTTATACGGACTGATGAACGACGCGTTATAGTATAGTTCTAGGTTTCGAGAAGTTGGGGTCCAAGGGTGCGTGCCTGCAAGTTGGCGGCAGCGTCTCCGAGAAAGGAATTCCTTCTTATTTGGCCCCTTCTAATGACGCTATTTCTGGAGGGGGCCTCTGGAACGTGCTCGGCGTGCAATGCGGCGGGGTTCGTCGCCTAGTAACGCGTCGTCGTTCCTTCCGCCGCAGCGCTTAATGATTCATAAAACGCCGCAAAAATAATTTAAAAAATAATATGAAGGACGGTTTAACCTAGTCCAACCCCTTCTGCCCGTGGAACAATGGGTAGTTTTTAGCGTAGCGTTACCGCAAGCTCAACTGGGCATGGCAATATATGCTTCTGGAAATGTCGTTGATTGTGGTGCTTGATGGAATTATATTAATTTGTACGCGTGTTTTTTTGTACCCAGTTTCTTACCTTCGCCGCACTTCGTGAGAGGCATGATGTGAAAAAGTGCGGCTGTGCTTTGAAGTGACATATCTGTGTTATGTATCCTATTATTTGTATGTGCCGCACCTGTACTGCACCCAATAGGGTGTACAGTATTTAAAAATAAATAAAAATAAAATAAAAAAGGGCACGAGAATGCTTCGAAGGTGCAACGCGAGTTTCCGGTAGCTCTGCTCCTCCGTACGGTAGCTGCGATAACGCTACGCTAAAAAAAACAAACTGCCAAATGCTCGATTGTTCGTTTTGTTGCTGGCCGCGTGGCTGGGCTTCTTTATGGCTATAGGTTGCCGATCTGCGTTCGCAGCAAAGTCGCTTTGTTTCAGTTTACAAGCTGGAATTTCACCCAAGAAAATTTGTATACTTCTTCTTACGCAAGCCCGGATTGCAGCACTGAACACCACGTATTTGCAAAGAATGTGGCTCGTCTGTGCTAATGCTCGTGCAGCGGAAGTACCCGCTAAAGCTATGAGCTTGTGCAACTAGTCTATCGTAAGTTTATTTGCTTTCCAAAAAAAAAAAAAATTAGCTTTTTTATTTTGGTGAAGGAAGACCAGAGAAGCTGTACTATGGTGGGAATGAAGTCAGAGTGGAAAGGCTCGAAAGGTTGCGCCATCTATGAGCGACGGCGGCAACCAGAGTTTGGTGTCGACACTTTTTTTGCGGGGGACACGATTCTGGGGAAACTAGCCCTTAACAGCTCCGCTGTGAAAGAAAAAAAAAAAAAGAAACATTCGCGTGTTTGTTTTACGGGTATTAACCAAACAGCTTAGAAACTCTGGCGATTTTAATGCAGAACATATGCATCCAACATGGCGCCTGTTTGTTTATAAAATCCAGAACCCGTTGACCTCAACTGCGCTTCCTGTTTCTTTTCCTTTATTAATACTGTCAGCCGTTTTAGGGCTATTACAAGGAGGATGAAAAATACACAATGAAGCACATACAGGTCGCTGGTACAAACTAACACGTTGCTCGTAAAAACAAACAAAAATTCGTTCACAGAACTATGTCTAAATGAATCTGACTTAAAGATCAGCGAGAAACAAAATGAACAAATGACCAAGGAGTTAATATAATACTAAGTGCAGTTAAATATGGTGAACTTAATGATTGGCACATACCACAATATTCTCAATACATGAACTTAGTGGCACCGACAAAACATTGGCATTCCGTAGCATATTCTATTTGTTTATGGCTCTAGAAAAAAAAAATACTTTTTAAAATCAATCACTTCGTACAGATGGACTTGGACTGTACATGCTATGGCAATGTCTTGGTGATTCATTCGGATGAATTTCGAGGTAGTCTGATTTATTTATTTTTACGTGATTATGAATAATCTGGGGGGGGGGGGGGGAATCATGCGGTCATGTTTTTGAATAGATTGTATTTTGTATGAAACAGAAACTCAGTCGCTCGGCCGCTCGGCAGTTTCATCTCGGTCCTGTCGAACAGATCTCCAGAGGATCCCTTTAGGTATTACAGGTGCAGGCGATGAAGGAGAGTCACGTCAACTCCGAGTTGGACGCCATTTTTGTTCTCACCTGTGCGACGTTGCCGACGTGGACGTGGCGACCTCGTTGGTCTCTTGGTCCACGTCCGACGACTCGAAGGGCACGGGCTGCATGGCCACGGGCTGGATGGACCGACGCCACGGGATGCCCACTGCGCATGCGTCAAAGGAAACCGACCAATCAGCAACCGCTTCCGTCTCCTCAGATTCCCAGTAACAAACGAATCTCTTCGGAAAATTCACGCTCCCCTTTTCAGACACCGAGGCGAATCCGATTCACACGGTGCAGGGGCGGATGGATGGATGTTAATGGCTCAGAGCCGTATATGTAGAGAGTTCGGTCAATGGGAGGCGCGGGCAGAGCCAGGGCGTGCGGCAGACTCGGAAAGAGGGCTTGGCATGCTCTCTTGACCAACCAGAAGCCGAAAAGAATCCCCTAGCGGTGGTAGCGAGAAACAGTTCTGAGCCGATCGATCATCGAAGGTCTCTGTTCGTATATGGTCTTAATAAGTGCGTAAGAGTGAAGAGTAGTAACTCTTTGTGGTTGAAAATAGGGTGCACGTCTTGTTTCATCATGATCATGCAGAAAGATGTAAGAAACGAATGCGCCGCTCAACTCTGTTTTGCGCGGACAGAGTGTGACCGCTCTGACGGCAGATTCCCGGCGCTCGGCGTTTGGCGTAAGGATTATGTCGATCTTTCCGCTAGTCGCACTCTTCCACCATCATTTTAGATGAGTGTGATTGAAACATTACGTGTACCATATTTTCAGCCATCGAGAGTTACTCCAATGCAGTTATCAGGTTTGTTTCTCGCGACCACCGCCAGGGTATTATTTCCGGCTTCTGGTTGGTCACATTCGAATTTCTGAAGACGCCCTGGAACACGCCCAGCCCGCGTTCGGCCAATGGCGCCGCTTCATTTGTCTCCTATACTTCCCAACGAATGGCCAAACTCTCTACATATACGGCTCTGTAATGGCTATATACCCTTCGTAACGGGCGGTAGCTTGCGCCACCTAGCTCAAGTTTTAAAAGACAAATGAGGACACACGCCCCGAACAGCGTCCGCACACTGTCTGGGTCTGTATGATGCATTAGCAGCGGAACCGCAGTAGCTTAACGCCCCACCATCTTTTCCGCGAGTACATAGTTCTAAACAAGAAAAGAAAAAAAATTTATTTGTTCAAACACTTGCATAGAAAACGGCGAATTTATTTACTTTTTTCTTATATTAACTCAGGGCGGGCCATTACTTGGGACGCGCCATTTGGCAGAAACACTTCGTATTCAATTTGGCTGTCTCTGCGATAACGGCTATACGGTAAAATGCTCGTAGTTGAGTGGCGTGCCGGCATTTAAAGTAGGGAATTTCGTAGAAACCGTCGAAGGTCTTTGGAAGAGTTCGGAATCACTCGGACAAATCGGCCGATGGTCTGGAAACGTCAGTGAAGCCAAAACACGCACGCAAAAACATACACACACACAAAAAAAAACAAGAAAAAAACAACTGACAAATAGACTTTGAGAGGGGGAAATGTATCTTGGTGTTAAAAATATATCGTTATCTATTTTTTTTTTTTTTTTTGTCTTGTGAATTTAGCACCCACCATGCGACTTCGATGAGCGAAACTCTTTGTAAACTCAAAAGAAATTAAAAGCAAAACAAAACAATAAAAAGTAAAAAAAAAGGGTGAGAGAGAAACTGAGGAAGATAGTAAGGAAGAGAAAGACGTGGAAAGTCCGAAGCGTAAGGAATTGATATTTACAAAAAAAACTCAAAATCCTTTTCCCCCGTTTTTTACGTCTCACTCCCGAACTCAACTTTCTACATATATATATATATATATATATATATATATATATATATATATATATATATATATGAGAAACGAGGGGTTTCGCCTTTCTTCCCTTAAAAACAAACAAACAAAGAAAAAAAAACAAGCTAGACAGAGAAAAAGAAACCAATAACGATGATATAGAAGAGAAAGCATAGGCTCCCCACTGGGGAAAGCTTCTCACGTAACATATGTGGGAACCAATAGAAAACAAACGCGGTAAAGGGTTTTAACGTCGACGTGACCGGGACGTTCAATGGCGATCCACGGAATCAACACGCTAACCACAAAAAATAAACAAAAAATAAAAAAAAAAGGATCTAAGAAAAAAGATAACGGGCGCAAGCGATACAGTTTCGTATACCGGCGCAAAACTTGGGGCGCCCGCCCTTTTGGGGGGATCGGGTAACCTCTCTTCGCCCGCTTTCTTGCCATTGTCTTTGGATTGTCTTTCGCCGAATGCGTCTTTTGGATTTGGTTTTGGATACGGCTTTCGTTCGCGGCGCCGACTTCGTGAAGGGTATCGTTAAAACGGATTCGCGCGATTTCTTTTTTTTTTTTTTTTTTTTTTTTTTGCGGGTCACGTATTCAAGGCTCAATAAACACTTTTCGGCCAAAAAAAAAGAAAAAAAGTTATGTATCTAAAATGGAGGAGACAAAGCGAGGAGCAGAAAAAGAAAAGGAATTGTTGCGCCGCTGCGGTGGTTATCCAAACCACGTTGGGTTTCGATGGTAAGGTTGTCGCGAACTTTCGGCGAACCTGGAGGATCGAGTGGCTCGGCGAAATCTTCGAACTTTTGGCGAAGTTCCACAAAGTCACACTTTTTGAACAGTGCTGCCCGACTCCTGCTACGAAAATTCGAACATCTTGGGGAAAAAAACAATGTGTACACTAGTTTGCTTTTTCTTTTTTTAACGCCATAAAGGCTTGACAAGGTCCTGACACACTTAGACGGGAAACCAACATCGTAGAGAAAATAAGCTAAAATAAAAGGCACAGCTACTCATGACATTATTGCCGCCGACGCCTATAAGGCAGCAGTTAGAACAAAAACATAAGCACAACTACATATGTTACTGCACTGAAAGACACTTGCAACGCGAAAAGCAATTTCAAATCCATACACGACACTAAAGGCAACACATGAAAACTTAGATAGTTTGTAGCGCAATGTTCACATTTGATTTGATCTTCCTAAGATGTTCACGGCTGGGGGTGTGTAGCGCTCAGGGGCGTGCAGTTGGCAGTGAAAAGGGGGGGGGGGGGGGGGGGGTACGGCGGGCCACAGCCACGGGTGCCGCTTACCCTAGTGACGCCACTGGACGCCAACGCGTATTGTAATGATGTAAAACCATAATAAATAGTAAATACGCATGGCCGACTGTCGATACCGCGATGCATGTGTGTGTTAGTCGAACTTCAGTCGAACCTGTATCGAAACTTTGCAGTAAAAGTTCGCAGATGTCGAACTCGGTCGAACTCGAGCCTCAGCAGGTTCGCAACGTCCCCAGTTTCGGGTGGGTGTTTACGGTTATCTTCGTTATGTATACGGCCCCTTCAGTCAGACGCGTTTCCATTCGCTCGTCTGCTTTTGTAGCGTGGCAGCGCGTCGTCGGTAGTCGGATCACGATCGCGATTAGGATGGATTTTGTGGACGCCGCGGTTGTTTTCGAGTCGAAAGCAATTTCGCGCCGTTGTTATCGCTCTAGCAGTCGCTAATTAACTGCGTGCTCGGCATTAAGAGGAACCAATCTTCGGGACGAAGCCGGCTTTGGGGTTAGCGGATAAGGCCCCTGGCGCTTTCGGCGGCCCGTGTGTACGATGCACCTTTTTCGGTTTGCGGGTGGAGCGAGCAAGCAGGTCACACACAACGGCATCGCATATCTTGGGGCGAGAGAGTAGAAAATGAAGCATCGCCGAAGGCTAGAGTCCGTTCCAATAACCTGCAGCTTCTAGCCGGGCCCATTTTTAGCGTTCGCGGGTACAGCGCGTGATTTGCTCGCTTTCCGAGGCCAGGAAACACGCCGTGTGCTGAACTGTGGAGCTCCAGAGATCGCAAACTCGACTGTAAATAGTAATATTAATAATAATAATAATAATAAATAGAATGGACAGTTGTTGTAAAGTGTGTGCTTTACAACAGCTGTGCATTGGCGCAGCCATCAGTGACCTTCATTTCATGTTTCACGGGATCAGCAGCCTGTGGGTCCGCGGAAGTGTGTGTATATTCATTAATTGATTAAATACACACAGCGTCTTCGAGTCAAGGTATGATATTTTCCCTGCCCTCATGACCACAAGGCATGACAAGCAGTAACGCTTTGTCCGTTTTGCAGTCTTGGCGGTAACAGGTTACAAGTAACGGCGTTACCAGGAACGCGTTACTTTTTTCAGTAACGTAGTAACCCACTTGTTACGTTTTCAACACAGTAACGGGTGACGTACTTGTGTGACTATTTCAAGTAACGTAGTTACGTTACTCGTTACTACTTCTTAAGTCTTAAAGAAATTACGCTTCAATTTTTTTACGTGTTTTAGGCGTCAAGCCATGATTTTCTGTGCGTTTTTTCTCGTAAGTATTTAGGAGAAACCTTAAAAAGAGATGAAGTAATTATGTTCAGTTTCTGCATGAACATAATGTTTCTTGATAGATTACCTGTATCGTCAAAACCGTAAAACGTGTTAAATCATAATTAAAAAAAAAGTAAAGCAGAATCAGAAGTAACGTACGTTACTTTTTATCGGTAGCGGTAACGCGTTCCTTTTATTTTTAGGTAACGTAGCTCAGTAACGCGTACCTTTTATTTGCAAGTAACGAGTAACGTATTTCGTTACATTTTTCGGTAAATACAAACACTGCCGTTCTGTCGCCGTTCAGCTTCTGCTGGGTAGCACGGGCGTAACGAGCCTCCGACGAGCGCTTGGCCGGTGCTTTGTGCGCGAACACCTCGGGAACAAAATCCGGGTGGTCTCGATCAGACAACGGTTTCCCTGAACATAAGCAAGCCTCGGGACGGAGATTGAAATGGTAGCCGCACATGCCTTCAAGAAAGTGTTTGCCGCACAAACTGTCGTTCGCGCGAGGTGACCATACTTTTCGATCCACGCATATTATCCACCTTCTAGGCCTTTCAGAGTCTGCCGGGAACTTGTGAAAACTCACTCCGCTGTTTTTTTGTACATTTCGGTGCAATTAACGGCAACACAGCTTCGCGGCATGCTGAGATGCTATGACGCCCATGCGAAACGTGCGCGCTTTTGCCCACACCCCCGGCTCCGGCGCGATCGCAGCGCCGCCGCAGCTCCG